TAGTCTGTTAATGTATTACTTTATTAGCTTAGGCTGCAATAATAAAATACCATAGACAAGTTGGCTTAAACAACAGAAATTTATTTCTAATAGTTCTGAAGGCTAGGGAGTCTAAGATCAAGGTAAGGTGCCAGCTGTTTTAATTCTCACATGGTGGAATCCTCACATGGTGGAGAGAGAGGGTTATCTCTCTTCCTATTCTCATAAGGCCCCCAGTCCTATTGGATTAGGTCCCTACCCTTATGACTTCATTTAACCTAAATTATTATATATCCTAAAAGCCTTATCTCCAAAAACAGTTACCTTAGGGGTTAGAATTTCAACATATGAATTGGGTACATTGGTTTTCAGATGTAAATTAATCTTCTATTAATGGGATAAATTCCACTTGGTCATAGTGTATAATCTTTTCTATATGTTGCTGGATTTGATTTGCTAATATTTTATTGAGAGTTTATGTAGCCGTGTGTTTCAAGTCTTTAGAGATCTATTAAGAAAGTGAAAAAATTTGGGGCCCAAGTCTAGTGGAATATTCAACAGAAACAGTAGAAGCTGAAAGAAAGAAAACAGCTGCCAACCTAGAATTCTATACTCAATAAGTATATCTTTTTAAAAGGAAGGTGAAATAAAAATATTTTCAGGAAATAAAAATTAAGGGAATTTGTCACCAGCAGACCCTCACTAAAGGAAAAACTAAAAAGGAGTTCTTCAGGCAGAAGGAAAATGATTCCAGATGGAAGCTCAAAGATACAGGAAGTAATGAAGAGCATTGGAAAGGTAAATATGTAGACAATCTAAATAAGTAATGTCTTGTGGTATTAACAGCAATGGCATATAAATTGGGAGGGGAGTATATAGAGTTCATTTCTAAGGACCTTGCATTGTTCATGAAGAGAATAAAAGTAACACATAATTTTATACTTTGATAGTTAAGAGTTGCTTATTGTAGTCTTTTACCACTAACAGACTAGGATAAGAGTCTAATTACTGAGCTAACAGAAAGGCAAAAAATTGAAATGACAAAAAATAGTCAACCAGAAGGCAAGAAAGAAGAGAAAAGAGATCTTGTAAAAGCAAGACTAATAATAGATTTAAAAAGAAAAAGATTTAAATCAAATTATATCAATAATATATTAAGTGAAAATAGACTTGATATTGTATTCAATACTCCATGAAAGGTCCTCGCCAAGGAAATAAGGAAAGAAGAAGTAAAAATGATAAAAATTAAATAAGAAGAAATGACGCTGTTGTTATGCATATGATTGTGAACATAGACGATCCCCAAAATATCTAGCTAAACTATTAGAATTGATAAGTGAGTTTAAAAAGGTTAGACTTTTATACACAGACACCATGCAGAAAATGAAACTTAAGAAAGATCTCATTTATAATAGCATCAAAGAGCATTACAATCTAAGGAATAAATATAACAAAATGTGTATAAGATCTTTACACTAGAATCTGTAAACATTGAAAGAAATTTCCATGTTCATGGATTGGAAGACTCAATATTGTAAATGTATCCGTTCTGCCTAAATTGTTATATTTATCCAATGTAATTCCAATCAAAATCTCAGAAAAAAAATTTTTTTTAAGTGAAAATTAAGCCATTTCTAAGCCAGTGTGGGAATGTAACAGGCTAAGAAGAATTGCGATAATCTTAGAGAAGAACAAAATTAGGGGTATGTCCTCTACCAGATATTAAAACTTACTAAACAATAGTCATGAAGATAGTGCAATCTTGGTGCAAAGTTAGGAACATCCTGGAACAAACCAGAAACTCCAGAAACAGTGAGATTTGATTGCTGACAAATGTGGCACTCCAGAACACTGAGGACAAGACTTTCTTCACTAAATGAGACTGGGTCAATTGGATGTTCATGAGGGAATAAAGGGAAACTTTATTACTAAATCACCCTGTATATAAAAGTCAATTCCAAGTATATTGTAGATACAAATGTAGGTAAAACAGTAAAACTTTTGGAAACAAATAGGAGAAAATCTTTATGACTTGGGAATAGGGAGAGATTGTGGGCCACAGAAAGCACTGAGAAAAAAAGGATAAAATGGGTCGCAATAAAGTTCAGAAATGATGGAAGATGATTGATTGAGAAAATGAAAAGACAAGCCACAGAGAGGAAAATGATACTGCTAACACACATAACTGAACAAAGAACTGGGTTCCAGAATAAATAAGAAATTCCTACAAGTCAGTAAGAAAGAGACAGAACATTGTTTGACAAACAGAAAAAGACTTGAACAGACCCATCATAAAAGAGGATATCAAGATGGCCAGTCAAAAACATGAAAAGCTGATGCAAAAATTGCAAAGTCACAATGATATGACATTAAAATCCTCTAAAATAAAATTTTAAAATTAAAGAGACTGATAATACCAAGTGTTGATGAGGAAGTAGAGCAACGGAAACTATGATACACTGCTGGTAGTGATATAAATTGGTATAGCTACTTTGAAAGACTAGTTAGTAGCGAATATATACAAATTTTTGGGTCCAGAAGTTCTTCTTCTAACAAAATGCACATGTATCAGTGCCAAAAGACACATATAAGGAGGTTCTTTGCAGGATTATTTGTAATAGCCAAAAGCTGGAAACAACACAAATGTCTATCAATAGTAAAATGGATACATGAAATACGATATATTCCTAAAATGGAATATTAGGCAGAAATGGAAGTGAACAGATTATAGCTCATGTGGATCCATATAACAAATATAATGTTTAATGAAAGAAGCTGATTGCAAAAGAATATTGTATGTATGACTCCATTTATATAAACATCAGGACCTTTCAAAACTATAATATTAAAAATTAGATATTAGCTAATTTGGGGGGAAGAGAGAAGGGATATTAGATTGGGATGGGACATTAGAGGGATTTCTGGGTGGTTAATTTTTCTTGGATAGATGGTATGGATGTGTTTACTTTGTGATAATTTATTGAGCTGTATGCATATGATTTGTATACTTTATGTATGTTATATGTCAATTTAAAAAAATCTAAAGAAACTGACACCTCCTGAGATATATATCTATAGTGTGGTGGTTGCTACAGTTTATGTAAATGCAGTTTTTTTAATCCATGTTGCTTGTTTTCTTTTTGCCTTTGAGAGGACAAGGTTGGATTTTAATTGAACTATGTTCCCTTGTGCACTTGTCCCCTTAAACCACCAGGCATTCTAACTCTGGTAATGGTTATTGGATGGTGGGGAGTTTTGTAGCAGGAGGGTTTGGAGACTGTCATAATTGAAATTGTGATAGGGGCTACCAGTAGTGCAAAAGTAGATTCTGAAGTCAACATAGAAGGAAATAATTCAAGAATTATAATTCTTTTGACACATTATCATGGTATTTAAAACATGACTTTTCCAAATATTATTGAAGTGTGTTATTAAATTATAAATAATATGTGTTAGGAATATGCCATTAATGCTAGTGTGATACAATGAAAGAGCATAAGTTTTAGACTTAGACTTGGATTCAAACCCTAGTTTTGCTGCTTGCTAAATATACAACCTTAGGCAGATTACGCCTGTTCTTTGCGTCTTACTCTCATGTCAAAAGAGGACAATATTCTTCCTGCAAATGCATTGAGGTTACAATGTAAATGGAGTAGCACTGTGTTGGGTACAATGATAGATGCTCAGTAGATGTTAGACTTCTTTCCTTTCCTGCTTGCTAGTCTACTAAATAATATTAGTAAAGGCAAAATCCTTCTCTGGTGAGAATTGTAAAACAGAAAAGTTTAGTGTATTTATTTCAATATTCTATTTAAGGCAGAATTTTTATTCTCTAAAGGAAAATGAAGACCCTTTTGTGAATTAACCTTTGACTTCTTTTAATAAAGTGATCCAACCCTGTTCTCTCTTTTAATATACTTTTATTTTTAAAAATTTGCTCATTGAAAAATATAAGAATTAATGAGAAAAATTTAAAAATTGTTCATAAGCACCACACAGATATAAATGTGTTTACAATTTTGTTATACAGTAGTTTCCCCTTATGTACCGTTGATTTCAGTTACCCATGCTCAATAATGATCTGGAAATATTAAATGGAAAATTCCAGAAATAAACGGTTCATAAGTTTTAAATTGCGTACTGTTTTGAGTAGCGTGACGAAATCTTGTGCTGTCCGACACCATCCCGACCGTGTTGCCCACGATGTGAATCATCCTTTGGTCTAGTGTATCCACTCTGTGTTATGTTCCCTACTTGGTAGTCACTTCTTAGTGTCTCAGTTATTAGAGTGACTGTCACATATTGTAGTTCTTGTGTGCAAGTAACCCTTATTTTACTTTTATTAAAACAGTATATTGTTATAATTGTTCTATTATTAAATTGTTGATCTATTACTATGCCTAATTTATCAGTTAATCTTTATCATAGGAATGTACATATTTATAGAGAAAATGTTATAAAATGTTTGGTAATGTCCTTGGATTGAGGTGTCCATTGGGGTTTTGGACCATTTACTTGTCTATACACTTTTAAACTGTAATTTGAGGTAAAATCATATATGTGATTTTTTTCATCCCCTATTTTCTTCTTAATATAAAACATTTCTCCATGTTATTAAAAATTATTTGTATTCAGCATCAACGCTCCCTCTAAAAAAGAGAAATCTTTGTATTATTTTAGAAAACTACATGGTAGTACATCTTAGGACATATTCTAATTAAAAGATTTTATTGTTAGACACTTAAGGGTTTCTAATTTTTTGTTATGCTGTGATAACAATATCTTCTTTTGGAGTAATCATCCACATTTAAGATGATTTCCTTAGGATAAATTTAGAGAAATGTAATTACTGTATCTAAGGGAAAGATAATTTTATTTTTTTAGATGGATATTTCAGAATTTATAGAAAAGCTATCAATATAATCCTACCAGGAGTATATAAATGAATCCATTTTTTGACATTCTCTCCACTAATGAGAATTACCCATTTAAGAATTTTCCATTTCTCTTTTTCTTTATAGCATTTGTTCAGTGCTCAGCACAGAGCTTTGACCAGACAGAGTAGAGAAGAGGTACTTGGTACCACTAGTTTGATGGAGCGTTTCTTGCAGGATGTAGTGCAACATCACCCGCATTATTGTCAAGAAAGCAGGTACAGTAACTAATTGGAATACTACTTGTATGTTGGTAAATGTTATAGTAAGTGTTTGTATTAATGCTTCAATACTTTTTAATGTGAATCTGAACTCCAAAACTTAGAAGGATCTGTTAATAGTAACTTTCATTTGCAATTTTTAATTTCTCTTAGCTTAAGTGAAATTCCACTATAAAAGATACAGATTACACTATTTTTTTCCTAAATAAAAATCTTAGGCCAGTAAATATTATATGTCATTAAAATATTTTGGTAGCACCTGTAGCTCCATGGGTAGGGCACTGGCCATATACACCCAGGCTGGCGGGTTCGAACCCAGCCCAAGCCAGCTAAACAACAGTGACAACTGCAACAAAAAAATACCTGGGCATTGTGGCGGGTGCCTGTAGCTCCAGCTACCTGGGAGGCTGAGACAAGAGAATTGCTTAAGCCCAAGACTTTGAGGTTGCTATGAGCTGTGATGCCATAGCACTTTACTGAGAGTGACATAGTGAGAGACTGTCTCAAAAACAGTATTTTATAAGTGTGTTATAGATTAAGCAGGGGGGAAAGGTAGGAATAAGTACAGTATTTTAAAGATTAGTAATAGAAAAGCTGGTAACAGCAGCAGAGTAAGGGTAGTCCAAAATCAAAACTAAGTCAGTTCCACTTAATGGAACTATTTACTAATTCTGAGTAGAAGAGATATCAAATAGAAGAGGCTCTTTTTATTATTTGTCAATATCTTGTATCACTTTGGGGTGTTTTTTTTTTTCTTTTTTTATTTAAGACAGAGTCTCATTCTGTTGCTCAAGCTAGAGTGCTATGGTGTCAGCCTAACTCACGGCAATCTCAAACTCATGGGCTCAAGCGATCTTCCTGCTAGGCTCCTGAGTATCTGGGGCTATAGGTGCTGGCCACCATGCCTCGCTAATTTTTTCTATTTTTAGCAGAGATAAGGCCTTCCTTTTGCTAAGGCTGGTCTCAAACTCTGGAGCTCAGGAGATCCTCTTGCCTTGACCTCCCAGAGTGCTAGGATTATAGGAGTGAGCCACCACGTCTGGCCTGTTTTGGGTGTTTTAATAAAAATAATTATTTTGATAACATTTAAGAGTCAGTGTCTTGTTTTGAAGTGAAATAGTGAAAGAGCATTAAATACTGCAGTGAGGCTTGGTGCCTTGCTGCCAGCAGTTAGGGTACCAGCCACATACACTGAGGCTGGTGGGTTTGAAGCCTGGGCCGGCCAAACAACAATGACAACTGCAAGAAAAAAATAGCCAGGCGTTGTGGCAGGCGCCCGTAGTCCCAGCTATTTGGGAGGCTGAGGCAAGAGAATTGCTTGAGTCCAGGAGTTTGAGGTTGCTGTTAGCTATGAAGCTACAGCACTTTACCGAGGGTGACAAAGTAAGACTCTGTCTCATAAATAAATACTGCAGTGAGGTAGCTGTTCCAGCTGTACAAGACAAGGCAGAATAGATCATTGGCATATCTGTGCAGATTTAGCTGAGATGTGCACCTATAAATAGAAAAAGGGATAAACTTCTCTGCTTTGCAGGTCACTAACCTAGAGTTTAGAATCAGTGAAAATGTTGTAATGGGGAAAAGTCAGAGGAAAAATGTGATTTTTTTTTTTTTAATGCTGGAGGAAAGTTAGAATTAGCCTATCCTGGGGTCAATATAAAATTATAGTCCATAACTCTTCTAAGTAATGCTTCAGCAAACATATTTGTATATGCAACTATTTTTATGATATAGCTTCCTATAATTTAAACTTATGGATCAGAGTTTATCGACCTTAAAAACTATGTTCTATTTCTTAATTTTCCATTTTAAAATGATTTTAGGCTTACAAAAATGTTACACAACTGATAAAAGAAATTCTTGTATCACGTTCATTCTCCTCGTTTCTAAATTAACCTAAGTACAAGGATCAAAACTAGGAAATGACACTGATTCCCATACTACTAGCTAACCTATAGGCCTTATTTAGATTTTATCAATTGTCCCACTTATGTCCTTCTTTTGGACCAGGATCCAGTCCAGGATCATTGCATTTGGTTGTTGTATCTCCTTAGTTTTCCTTAATCTTGAATAATTTCTCATTCTTTCTTTCCTTTTAAGACCTTGATTCTCTTTAAGGAGTACTGGCCAGTAATTTTATCAATTATCCTCAAATTTATGTCTGCCTGATATTTAGTTTTCTTTTCTTTTTTTTTTGAGGCAGAGTTTCACTATGTTGCCTGGTAGAGTGCTGTGGCGTCACAGCTCACAGCAACCTCTACCTCTTGTCTCAGCCTCCCAAGTAGCTGGGACTACAGTTGCTACCCCCAACGCCTGGCTGTTTTTTGGTTATAGTTGTCATTGTTTGGCAGGCCTGGGCTGGGTTTGAACCCGCCAGCTCTGGTGTATGTGGCTGGCGCTCTAGCCGCTTGAGCTACAGGTGCTGAGCCTGCCTGATATTTTCTTAAGATTAAATTTAGCTTATGCATTTTGGATAAGAATATCTGAGAATTGATATTGTACCATGCTCTGTATATTAAAACAGGAAACACATGATGTTACCATGTTACTGCTGGCAATGTTAAGTTGTGTCACTTGATTAAGGTTGTGTCTGCAAAGTTACTTCACTATAGTAAGCTACTGTTTTTCCTGTTGTAATTAATAAGAATTTTGTGGGGAAGGCCATCTCAAAATATAGCCAGGCATTGTGGCAGGCACCTGTAGTCCCAGCTACTCAGGAGGCTGAGAAAGAGGATTGTTTGAGCCCAAGAGTTTGAGGTTGATGTGAGCTATCATGCCATAGCACTTTACCCAGGGCAACAAAGTGAGACAAAGGGGGACAAAGTGAAACAACATCTTGTGGGGAAGAACTTAAAGACTATGTAAATATCCTTTTTCTCCTTTACTTTAGCTGCCTTATTTTAGGCATCCATTGATGACTCTTCCCTGACGCTGTTATTATATTTATGAATCAAAATTCTTATCCCTCACTATTTATTCAGTTATTTATTTATACCATTATAGGTTCATGAATATTTCTTTTATTGTGTGGCTTTTATTATTTTATGTTATGTCATGTTATCTTATGTTGTGTTATAGACAGGGTCTTGCCCTGTTGCCTAAGCTAGAGTACAGTTACTTAGTTATAATTCACTGTAATCTCAAATTCCTGGGTTCAAGCAATCTTTCTGCATCAGCCTCCCCAGTAAGATGGGACAATAGATGAGCACCATCATGTCTGGCAAATTTTTCTATTTTTTGTAGAAATGGGATCTTGCCATCTTGACCAGGCTGGTCTTGAACTCTTGGCCTCAAGCAATCCTCTTGCCTTGGCTTCCCAAAGTGGTAGAATTATAGGCATGAGGCAGTGTACCCAGCCTATACTATGTGTTTTAATCTGTTACTGTTTATTATTTCTTCTGTTTCTCAAATTGTATATGAACAGTTTAAATCCTTGCTGGATACTTCCTAGAAGGCTATACCTATTTGTACTCACACCATAAGAGAATGCTCATTTGTTGTGATTCTTGCCAACACTGGGATTATCAACCTCTCTTCCCTCCCCCCCAGTGTAATAGAGCAAAAAAAAAAAAAAAAAATGTATCTCCTAATTAGCTTGTCTTTATTTATGAGTAAAATGGAACTTCTTTTTGTATATTTATTGGCCATATTTGATCCTATAAATTGTTCATTCATTTATAGGATCAGATATGTTCATTCATATACTTGCCCTGTTTTTTTCTATTGACATATATGTATATTTTGAATTTATAAGCAGTATTTGAGCATGAATGATAGTCTTATTTTAAACAATTTCCAAATATTTTTCTAGAATCTGTTATATGTCTTTTTTTTTTTTTGAGACAGAGCCTCAAGCTATCCCCTTGGGTAGAGTGCTGTGGCTTCACAGCTCACAGCAACCTCCAACTCCTGGGCTCAAGTGAGTCTCCTGCCTCCGCCTCCCAAGTAGCTGGGACCACAGGCGCCCGCCACAATGCCCAGCTGTTTTTTGGTTGCAGCCATCATTGTTGTTTGGCGGGGCCAGGCTGGATTCGAAGCCGCCACCTTAGGTGTATGTGGCTGGCGCCTTAGCCACTTGAGCCACAGGCGCCGAGCCTGTTATATGTCTTTTAACTATATGTGTTGTATATTATCATACAGATATTAAACATTTTAACATGATCAACTCTAATGAGAATTTTTTTAGTAGCTTCTTTCATATATGTTTTTTTATGCCCTTGTTTCTTCTTTTAAATATTTTTAATTAGGCTGGGCATAGAAGAGTCTTCCTAGGACTTTGGGAGGCTAAGCAAGTAGTATCACTTGAGGCCAAAAGTTTAAGACAAACCTAAGCAAATAACAAGACTCTGTTTCTACAAAAAAAAAGTCAAGTGTGGTAGCATGCACCTGTAGTCTCAACTACTCAGAGGCTGATGCAGGAGAGTTGCTTGAACCTAGGAGTTTGAGGTTTCAGTGAGCTATGATTATGCCACTGCACTCTAGCTCAGCCAGCAGAGTAGTGAGACCCTATCTCAAAATAAATAAGTAGATAATTGTTTTTATATGTGGTATGAGGCAGGACTTCTATTTAATTTTCTGTAAATGTATCTCTAATTATCTCTGCTGATGTAAAATGTAACCTCTATCATACCTAAATTCCTGTATTTGAGTATAGTGTATACATACGTAATGGTGTGAAATACCATTTTATTCCCTTGATTTTTAAAAAAAATTTCATGCCAATACTATATTATTATATTTATAAGCTTTTTAGTTTATAAGTTCATGGGTTTTAGAAAAATTTCTCTTCCCTTTTTATTTAGACATTGTAGGTTTCTGTATTGTTTCAGATTTTCTGAAAATCACCTCTTGCCTAATGTTTGTTTCCTTTTCATTAGTTTTTCCTTTTTCTTAATTTATTTCCTCTACCTTTTTTATGGGAGTAATTTGGTAGTTATTTTTCTATCTTTAATTTAGTGTTCACTTAATTGTGTTTACTAATACTTTTTCTTTTTTGGCCGGAGCTGGGTTTGAACCCTTCACTTCTAGCATATGGGGCCAACATCCTACCCTTTTGAGCCACAGGTGCTGCCCTGCTAATATTTTTTTTAATGGCAGTATTTAGAAGTGTGAAGTGTTCATTTTTAGCATATCTCATAGGTTTGGATATGTAATTGTTTTATTTACTTACAGTTAAATTTTTTTTTTTTTTTGAGAGAGAGTCTCACTATATTGCCTTGGGTAGAGTATCATGGCGTCATAGCTCATAGCAACCTCAAACTCCTGGGCTCAAGTGATCCTCTTGCCTCAGCCTCCCAAGTAGCTGGGACTACAGGCCTACCACAACGCCGGGCTATTTTCAGAGATGGGATCTTGCTCTAACTGAGGCTGGTCTGGAACTCTTGAGTTCAGATGATCCACCCGTCTTGGCCTAGCAGAGAGCTAGGATTACAGACGTGAGCCACTGTGCCCAGCAAAAATTTTTTTTTTTAGCTCAGGCTGGTCTTGAACTTGCAAGCTCAAGCAATCCACCCACCTTGGCCTCCCAGAGTGATAGGATTGGAGGTGTGAGCTGCCATACCTGGCTGTGTACATTTTTAATTTCAGTAGACATTGCCAAATTCCTCTTCATAGAGGCTACTAATCTACACAGAGGTTAACTAATAAACTTCACGGAAGTTAACTAAGATATATACTCCTATCGACAAGGTATTAAAGTGTGTTCATGTCCTTAGCCAAAATGATGTATCAAAATAATAGCTATTTTGTGAATGCGTACTATGTGCCAGGTTATTTTTTCTTTTTCTTTTTCTTTTCTTTTTTCTCTTCATATATGACAACTAATTGAGAAAAAATAGTATATTCCTTGGAGGTTGAAACTGATGTGTACAAGATTAAGTTAACTTTTGTCAAACTTTTTTCTACTTAACCACTCTGATAACTGAAAAATGACATATAGTGGGGTTTTTTTTGAGACTAGAGTCTCACTATGTCACCCTCTGTAGAATGCTGTGGTGTCACAGCTCACAGCAATGTCAAACTCTTGGGCTTAAGTGTTTGCCTCAGCCTCCTGAGGGGACTACAGGCCCCTGCCACAGTGCCCAGCTATTTTTAGAGATAGGGTCTTGCTCTGGCTTAGGCTGGTCTCAGACCCATGAGCTCAGGCAGTTCACCCACCTCGCCCTCCCAGAGGTGCTAGGATTATAGGCGTGAGCCACCACTCCTGGCTGACATATGGTTTTATTTGCATTTTTCTTGGGTTTAGGAGCTATTTGTGTTTAAGTAGCAATTGGTGAAGTGTCTTTCACCTTGCACGGGTTACCTGTGGAGGTGCATGTAGCCTGATGTGATTGCCTTGATTCTTTGTCCTTTAAGGATAGCCCAGAACAGAAAGAAAATTACATTCATTATGCCTTCATTTTTAACATTTTAAACTGATATTAGAATATTTGTATGTGTTTTTCTCCTTTCTTTTTAGACCCGTGCAACAAGAGATCGTTGAGAATCCTGAGTCACCTGATGTGATTCATGTGGCCGATTATTTTCCTGAAGGAGACTATGAGGATGAGGAAGAGGATGAGGAAGAGGATGAAGAAGAGGATGAAGATGAAGATGAGGATGATCCTGGTACCAGAGAAGATACATCCTCCAAGGGTTGTAAAGTTGTTGAGTCACATTTCAGGCCTAGTATATATCAGGAATGTATACAGGAGGTTTCAGTTCGACCATCAGTTATTCAAAAACTAGAGAGGGGACGGCAGCAGCCCTTGGAGTTTGTTAATAAAATTGGGCCTGTTATGAAAAAATGTAATTCAGTAGATACTGGTCAAGTTACAAATAATGGAAGTAACTTAATACGTCCCCCAGTGATTTGGAATGCACCTGCTCGTCCTTTACCTGAAAGTTCTAAAGGTAGACCAGTCATAACTAATGTGACTAAGTTACCACAAGCAGCCAATTTGGATTCAGTTAACAAACGTGATCCAAACAAAGTTGAGAAACACCTTGAGCAGGTAGGCGGGGTCTTTAGAAAGCCCATGACATCATCCAGTCTAGAAACTTCTTCAGTTTCACATCAGAATCCTAAAGAATCAAACAGGAAAGCTTTGTGTATAAATTCAGATAAATTGGTTTTACAGAAAGATGTAAAATCTAAGGGTAAAACTTTGTCAGCTGATTTTAAATTCTGCGAACGTATGCGTACTGAGGGGTCTTTAAGAGTTGACAGTCCTTCTGAGTTAGAAGTAGAGTCAGCAGTAAACCTGAGTAAAACTGAGAAGCCTTCTAATAAAGGAATCTTTGAGGATGCCAGTCCAGAGTACCATGAGGCATCCTTTTCTAATATCAATTATACCCAAGAAGCAAAACGTTTGGTTTTTAACAAGTCAGGCTTTTTAGAAAAGAAGTACTCAGTGAGTTCTGAATTGAAGTTTGATTATAGCTATCTTCAGTCATCATCTTATCAACGCCTAAAGACTGCACGAGACTTCAATGTTTGGAAAGAGGTTGACCAAGAAGGTAACAATGATGAATCTAGTGATTCTGAAATGAGTTTTGATCGCAATTCTTTTCATTCACTGACTGATCAATCCAAAGTGACTGCCAAAGAAATAGACCATTCCAAGGAAGTATATGCTGATTTACAGTATAAGAATAATACATCTTATGGCTCTGAAACAAGTTCTGATGGTGATGACTCTCTTCAGTTGGTTACCAACCAATCTCAAGTGATTGTTAAAGAAGGAAATCCACAGAATGCAGTGCGTATTAGCCTGGTTGACCAAAGCTATGAATCTAGTAGTTCTGAAATGAATTTTGATTGTTATGGCTCACCTCAGTCAACTGATGACTACCCTCAACAGCAAGCAAAAGAAGTCAACCTTTCTAAGGAGGCGCACATTGATTTGGTTAATAAGAACTATGGATCTAGTGGCTCTGAAGTAAGTGCTGATTCTGTTTTCCCACCTCAGTCCGTGGTTGACCGACCTCCAGTGGTTGTCACTGAAATAAAACGTCGGAAGAAGGTTCACGGTCGTTTGGATGATGAGAACTGTGCATCGAGTTGTTCTGAAACCAGTTTTGATTGTGATGTTTCTTTTCAGTCAGGAGTTGATCACCCTCAACTGACAGTCAAAGAAAGTCATGTGAAAAGTAGACGAGTCCATGCAAAGCTTAAGAAACGTAAATCCAGTAGTGCTAAGGCATGTCCTGATGGTGATGTCTCTCCTGACGCAGTGGCTGATGAACCCGAGAGCACTGATGAAGAAATAGATATTCTGAAAGAGAAGAATTCTGACCTTGTAGATATGGATCGTGAGTCTCATAGTCCTGAAATGGCTTATGCTGATGCTCAGTTTGCGATTGGCCATCCTTCAGTAGCAGTTAATGAAATGAATCCACAGAAAGAAGATACTAACCTGGAGAGTCAGAGCATTCGTTCTAGCGTTTCTAATCTAAGCTTCAATTCATCATCATCATCTTCTTCTTCGTCGTCGTCGTCGTCGTCGTCCTCGTCGTCGTCCTCGTCGTCGTCGTCCTCGTCGTCGTCTTCTTCTGCTGCTGCTGCTTCTTCTTCTTCTTCTTCTTCTTCTTCTGCTTCTACTTCTGCTTCTGCTTCTGCTTCTTCCCAGTCATCCAATGATCAGCTTCAAGGGCCTTTGGGTGAAGTGAATGTTAAAGTGTTAAATCATGACATGGAAACTAAAAGCTGTACGAGCACCAGTTCTGACCTGACTTTTGAATCTGATCCTCCTTTTACTGAGCAGTCTCAGTTGGATATTGGAAGAAATAAACACATTGGCCTGGATAATGAGAGCTGTGAGTCATACAGTTCTGAAATAACTTTTGATTCTGATATTCATCTTTCAGTAGTTGACCAACCTGAAATATCTCTTTATGAGGAAGAAGTTGTTGATATGGAAAATAGAAGTGATGCATCTTGTGCTTCTGAAACAGGTTCTGATTATGAGATTCCTCTTCATTCAAGAGATGATCAGTCTGAAGTAGATGATGAAGAAGTAAATGTTGAGAATGAAGATGATGAAGTAAATGATGAGAATGAA